TTTTACGAGATATCTGTGGGCATGTCAACCTCAAATATAAATCACACTTTCAGTATTACTCAATCTCCTCTATGTGTTTGTCAACAGCTAATGAAACTCCTCATCATGTTTTAAGGTAATGGCTGGCGTATACGATGACTTCCAAACACGCTTCGAAAGATATACATCAATAAATTTTATTTCTCGACAAATGCTTAGGTGGTGAGGCGACGCCGCCTGGTGCCTCTGGCCGCTTTCACTGTGCCCGGACCACGCTGGCGTGGTGTCCATATGTCCAGTCTTCCCGTCCGCCACTCCCGCACACCTGTGTGTGCTCCGAACGAAGACAACACCACCCCCGTTGCCGTAGGGATGGACTGACCCTGCAGTATATAAAGACCGCGCCCGGCCACCGAGATTGTCACTTGTTTCCCGCTCTTCGAGAGCGTAATAGTGACCGCCGGTGCCCCCACTCTACGGTTGCCTTCGGGTAGATCGAGGCGGGAATCGACGCAAGGTCGAACCGAGCGACCAGCCGGCAGCCTTCGCCGCCGCCCTTGCCTGCCACACCTCTCCCATCCTCCTCATGGCAATGACCGACTGACTGAGTGCTGGGCTGCATAGACTCTGTTAGGATGTAACAATGCACTTGCAACAAAGGCTCATAATGAACTTCTTTTAATAATCATCCCGAATTTCATCTGTCTCCCGCTACTTACTATCTGCCATCATCTCATCACGACACTTACGCATTGTAGAGAACGAATATTGTAATGCTGCGGGAGGGGGGGAAGGGCGATTTTTGGACAGAAAAACTGGTATTACTGGTCCCTAGCAATGAAAAAGATAAATATTGTTCCTTAAATAGTAGATTACTTCCTCTAATATGTTGTGTTGTCAGAATCCACTTTGATTCGTGATACCTAAAAATCGATTGACAGCCTCCGTTTATCTGTGTGCTTATAAACAACGCCAGCGACTAAACTGTAAGCAGTATTTTTACCACACCTGATGTTTCCCAATCGATCAAAACTTACTGGAGGTCCTATGAGTTTGAAATTAGTATTTTGATTTTTGTGGATATTTCTGAGAAATCTTTTTTCTAATATGAAGTTTATTAGGCCATCAATGCTTAAAATTGGTATAAGAGATTATTTACAAAGTTTCGTTGTTACTTCTCTGGACATCCTGTAGTTGATCGTACTATTTTATTGAATACAAAGATATTGTAATATTAATGTAAAATACTGTCATTATCTTATGTCTATTATCATGTATTATCATATTATTATCATGTCTATCCATGTCGTTCAACAATGAGAAATATTATAAGAATGTCAAACTGGCGTATCGTAGCATTGCTATTTTCCTAATGCTAGTGGATATCTCGTCAAACGATGCACGAGGAAATAGAATTTACAATTTCCAAAATAACGCTGAACTACTTAGATATTTAGAAAATCGTACATTATCTTTTTTAAAGATCTGATTTTTTTAGAAGAGATTTATATTAACAAAAAATCTCTATCATGAATACAGTGGGTTTGCATTGACAATTTTTTGCCATTCTCAAAAATAAACAGAATTTATCGCAAATGGGACCAGCAAAATTACATTTACTATTCTTTGGTACATACGAGGAGAAAAATTACAATACTTTCTCCATACTTAGCAGTAAGCAAGAAAGTAAAAATCTATAAATGTTTTATGTAAGCCCTACACCTTTTTCTAGTGGGTTAGCTAGTTTTGAAAAATATTTTTATTGGATATGGTGATATTCGTGGGGCCGGCAGGGTTGCGTGGAGAGGGGAGAGGCCGAGAAGGCCACCTCCCGCAAAAGCGTCAGTTGCAAGGATTGCTACAGGTCATATTGCACGTTTAATTGAAAATAACATGTCAGAAACATACATTTATACTGAAAATACTATTAAGAAAGTTACGTACTAGTAAAATCTGGCGTTGCCATCGCTGTAAATTGTTTTAAAAATAGTTTCATGTGTTGCAAATTTATTTCATACTTCATTTCTTTCATGCCCAGCTTTGTTCAAATATGGTCTTTCAGTATTTGGCATTGGAATTACCAAGGAATGGTAGTAGCTGATAATATACCCGTTCAAAAGTTCCCAACACCCAATGACCTTGT